TTTTTTTTTTTTTTTTCCTTGAACGGGTACAATACTCTATTTCCACAGATCCGACGTACATGATTCGAGCAGTTCCTAGTAATGCATCTGATAACATCTATTGCACACTTCTTGCTCAAAGTGCCATCCATGGAGCAATGGCAGGATATACTGGCTTCACTGTTGGGCCCGTAAACAGCAGACATGCCTATATTCCAATCAGTGTAAGCTCTTGCCTCTTCTCGCAATATAATTGAAATGCATAACAGTAGGACATAGTCAGCATGCAAATTGGATAATATCAAAGAAGGGAAGTGCCATCATTTTCCCAAGCAAATTGCATGCAACTAAAATGCTTAGGATTCTGTAGCTCAGGACCACGTATTCACGAAAGGGATTTGAAGAAATCCCATCATTTTTCCTCCCTTGTTTCTGTGAGTGCGTGTGTAAATGTTCTTCCAGAGTTTTTTGTGTGAGGTGAGGTTCTAAATTTAGTTTTACGGTGTTTTCAGCGAGTAACAGAGACTCAGAACACGGTGAAACTGACAGACAGGATGTGGGCCCGCCTTCTTGCTTCCACAAATCAACCTAGTTTTCTTAGCTGTGAGGTTGTGAAGGAAAGAGTTGACAGGCAGATCATTGATGAGATCCAGAATGAGAAGATCACTTCTATTTAACTTTCCCTATATAACTCCAGCAGAGCAGGTTTGTGCCAAACACTTGGTGCATTTAACTTGGTAAAGTAGAGCGATCACTCGCGAGATCGAATCTCATCCCTGGGCAATTAGTAAAAGAAGTGCCAATGTTTATAGTTGGGAGCATGAATGTGTGTTTTTTCTTAGTTCATTTTCTTTCAGCTTGTTGCTTGATTGACAGTTACAAGGTCTTGCAATGATTAGTTTGTACTTTATTCATACGAATTATACTGCTTTATTATTTTATTTAATTTGTGTTATGCTTGCTTGATTAGTTAAACCGCATAAAAAATAAAAAAAATACAATGAGCTCAGATCGATCTTTTTTCTTCAAGCTCGACGTGTTTGTAGAATGGTGCCCGACTTCACTCGTGATAAAAAAAGAATGCTCGAGCTAGATTCAATGCTCGACATGGTTCGAGTTCGGATTGGAATTTTAACAACTAAATTTTAAATATAAGGGTACTATTTTTAATCTAAATGGATAATTTTGGATTTGGTGCTCTATATTGATAATTAAACTATATGGGGTATTTATATAAATAAAAAGTCTGAGTGGTGGATGAGCTTTCGAGCCTCTTGAAATGATGCTCGAGGTTCGACTCGTTTGCTCGATTGAACTGCTCGAGCTCGACTCGATCTTGAGTTTGATCGAACTCGAGTCGAGCATTGACTTGAGAACTTGCGGGCAACTTGTGAGCTACTTGACTCGTTTGTAGTCCTACTCGTATTACATGACAATGTCAACTGATGGTGATTTATTTATTTATTTATATCATATATGAACATTAATAGTACAAAAATGTCTTAAATAATAGAGAAAATATGGTGATACATAAAACATGTTTGTGAATATTAAGCTAAAGAAGATCAATTTATTTGATTTAAGTTGACATATAATAGGTCAAGTGCCCTTTTAAATTTTATGTAATTTTAGAATTGAACATTTTTTTTTAGTTATTATTAGATTGAAGAAGACAAATATACAATTGGATCCTAAAGAAAACAATATATATCTTTTTAAATGACTGAAATATGGATTTCAGAGAAAAACAAAAAAAAAAACAAATTGACCACTTACCTTTTCTCTCTCTAGAACAAAAAGCTCTCGCCCATTTCCGCTAAATCCTTGGGTTGTGGCTTTAGACTAGGCCGGTCTCTTGCCCTTATCTTCGGTGATGTTATGTCTTTTTCGCCGGTGTTTTGAGCATGTCGAACGCCGGCGGCGGTGGCACGTGCGACGCTGATGGAAAGACTCGCGTCATGAGGCTCGCCATGCCTTTAAGAGTTTCCAGGTCTTGAAACATCGACGTAAAGTCGATGGCGGGAGCCAGTGTGCGTGGTTGCTCTGTCGTTTGCAACTGAGATTCTCCCTCTTGGTTTGTGAAGACATCTCCTCCAGTTGTTCTTGCGAGTTGTTTTACTGATTATGAATATGGTGTTCTTCAAGTCGAATGGTAACCTCAAATAATACGAGACTCTTATTCTAGCGTTAAACTGTTACCAATAGATCTGATCAACCGATAATAATGAACTAGTGTGTTAATATGATGTTTAATGTGTTTTAGTTTTGGATAGTGTGTAAAGGACTTTGAAATATAAAGGAAATACGATGTTGAATTCTGGTGTTTGAGCTTGAATGCTCGTATTTAATGCAATATTAATGGGAGAATATATGTCTTGAGTGCAGAGAATTTTTTTGAATTCCTTTACAAAGGATTTCGAAGACTATTTATAGCAAAAATGGTCCGATTACTGTTCATCGATAGTACATCAAGCATTAATTTAAAAAGACACATTTAATGCGACTTGTGACCCTATGAGGCTATGACACGTAGGCAAATAGACTTTTGATGAAAGTGTCTCATCTTTTATCATTTGACTACAAGTTGCTTTTATTTTAATATTATTTTCCCGCCCAATGCGCTTGGCTCGGCTCTACGATATTAGCTTTTGGCTCATTTTATTTAAGTCTTGTGCTCTGTTCTACTGGCTTTGATAATTTCCTTGTCGTCCTTACACTTAACATTATTCGACCTGGGTGTCCTGCTTGATCTCGTTTGTTACCAACTGTTCTTACTTCTGAATTCGGTTTTCACTCTCAACTCCCCGAACCGATTATTCAACTTGGCTCTCTCTCCATTAAGCGGTTGTATTCAGTTCTAGATCCACCCAACTCAACTCGGATGTCAACAATAAAATTGCGATAAATAGAATTATAGATCGTGCAAGTCTATCATTTCAAGTCTGAAATTATATATTAAGGGCAAAGGTTATCCCAAGTAAGAAAAAAGAAGAATACTTCAATGTGTTGTATTCAAATAAATTTAGGTAGTCATGGTGCCAGAATAATTTGCAAAACACATGCATCAATCACATATGTAATATATACGTATGCAAATAAAATACTGCTTATGAATACAAATCTCAATTTTATCATTTTCTCTTGTCAAGTGGATGCATGGATTGGGTCCCTGTTGTGTACGGCATTTTTCAATTTGGATAAAAAAAATTAATAAATGCAAGAAATCTAACATAAATTAATAATTTGATCACATCATATTTTCATTAGCCCTTTCTATGATTTTGACAATAGCCAACGTGATGGATAAAACAGAAATTTCACCAAATTAAACCAAATAAAAATAAATTTCACACATTAAGATTACTTCTTATATATACAACTCTAGATTACATTGATTTTAGATAGAACTCTAGACTACACATCCAATTTATTTAAAAAGAAACAATGATGACAAAGATAGCATGTTCCGTGTAGAATAAATGTAGCTACTGATGACGAAAAATAGTTTTTGGTTTGCGACTAAACTAGTAGACATAAGTGTCGGAGATTACCTTAGAATAGGTTTAAATCAAATCTAATGATATAACCATAGAGGAGGATATCTGCACAGAGATATGTACAATGCATACACGTAGATAATAACTAGTAACACATTTTCCTGACTCATATCTCCGGGCTAAGAAAAAATGAACTATTTGAGTGAGATCCATCATGTAAGTGTTACAAAAAACTATCCGAGTTAGATCCATCATGTAAGACAGTAAAAGAAAGGCTGAACTCAAGGATAACATAATAGATCTTCACAACGCTACAAACATTTATATTAATATAAACCTAATCATGATGAACAAAATCGGCAAAAGTAGGGAGACATGGACAACTACAACTAAACCTTAAAGTTGACAACTTGGTCAGTCAATCAGCATATCATCCGAAGTAGCACTCAGCGTATCATCCGAAGTAGCACTCAGCGTATCATCCGAAACAGCAGGGAGTGGTTTAAACCTCCACTCGTGAACGACTGGATAGTCACCAAAGGGGCAGTAGACCGCGGCTTGAACAGTTTGCACAGGGCCAACATCTTTGACAGTCAAAGTCAAGAACATCACATAGATCCTGGTAAAGACAGCCCTCTCGATTTTCACAAGCTTATAATGGTTACCCTGCTACATGCATCCCGTTGTAATTTGGATTTTTAGTCTTAATAGACAATGAAGCAACCAAGCTTTGAACATAAAAATAAATAAAAAATAAAAATAAAAATAAGCAAGTCGACATAAGCAATATAGGTAAATAAGGCTCAAATAATGTTCATGATTTGAAATGATAACATTCCATAGCAAAATATATCAAGGACAGATCAGCTTAGTTACACAGACGCACAGTCTCTTCAATGATTTTCTGAATTGCACACTCAGTTGCTTCGACAACGGTAGCATAGCAGCGTTGTTGGAATTCACATTTACTCTGACGCAGCTCTTCCAATTGAAGTGGTATGAATGGAGTGTCAAAGCAACGAGGCGGGCAGCAATCCACGTCGTAACCCTACAAATATCAGAAGCAGCTCATCAACCATTTGAATCAAACAATAGAGCCCTGTGATAGTTTTGATGATTGTTAACTAATAAAAATACACTAGAATTAGCAATCACGAATCGCAACCCATTTGGTGAAAATCAAAGAAATGATATTACAAGCAGGGGAGAGTGACAAATGACAATCAAAAGCAATACTGCTATGCTATAGTTAAAAATCCTTTTAAATCAACTCTCAAATTCTGCATCAGCCAAGCTAATACACACACACACATGTACAACATAGCAAACAAAGCATAATCCTGATGATTTGAGAAAACAAACCAACATATAAAAATATAATTAAACAAAATTAACAAGTATAGAGACCAAATGCAGCAAATCAGAGCCCCCAAACACATTAACGAGAAAAAAAAAAACAAAACAAAAAATAATCACAGGACCAATTAGGCGAGCAAAACCCTAATTATGAACAATCGGATTTCAACAAAAAAACGACCACCGGTAGAATCAGTACGGGCAGAAGAAGAATTATAGGGATAGATACCCTGGATTCGCGGACTTGTTTGAGGAATCTCTTGACCAGCTCGATTGTATTGGGCCGAATCTCCTCGCCGGGCCGGTAGAAAACGGATTCAGGGACGTTATAGCCGTTCTTTTCGAAGGGAAATTTGCGCTTGAAGCGTACAAACAATCCCCACCTGTCATCGTCGAGAGTCGGGTCCGTCACCATCGTCATTGCTTTGGCTCTCTCCGTCTCTCCTAATTCACTTTTCTAATGTTTTTTGGCAATGTGGAGTCTAATGAATCCCCTATTTATAATTTCCCGATTATCTTTTCCATCTTTTTTTGCACATTTACATTTCTTTTTCTTATATTACCATATATTATATTTTACTAGTACAACACCCGTCTATTACAAGGGTGTTTGTTAAAAAATTATTTTTAAATTTTAAAATTAATGAGAAAACTAAATTAAATTTAGTTAAAAAAAAAATATTACTATATATTTTAGAATGAGATATGTTACTTATGACTTACATGTGTTATATTATATTAGTTGTTATAACTTATATCATATAACGACTTGAAATATAAATATATTAGTTGATAAATAATTTTATTTTTCTAATTAATATTAA